GGAGTCAAATCCTCATTTCTGTATATAGGATGGTGCTTCCACCAACTGAGCCACACAGGCTAAGGCCAGGGTTTTGTTTGTTTGTTTGCTTGCTGTTGTTTTAATGATAATTGTGAATATGTGAGACAAACTTGCATGCCAAGCATATTTTCATATTAGAAAGCATTCTAAGTAAAAATAGAGGTAACACTTAATTCTTTGAAAAGAGGGTATTCTATGCTTTAGTTCCTAATTTTTCATTAGTTTATATTCTCACTTGAATGGATGACTCACATAGGAACATATCTAAATGTATATAAGTTTATTATATAAAATACATGCTGGTATTTCAAAATGTGTAAAACAGTGATATGCTGTTCTTGTTAAAGTAGGGCTGGTACTTCAAATAATATAAAAATCACTATGATCAAACTTTGTGGTATGGAGACTAAGTGCATTTTTTAGAAATGTGATATATAAATGCTATTCTTATTTAAATCCCTATGCCTATTGCTATTAATTCAGATATGTGTCTACCTTCCCACAAATATTTGTATATTTGTGTTTGTATGTGTGTATATAATATGCATGTATTACTAGTATATGTTCATATACATATATTACCTTATAGAACTTAAAGATTCAGGAAGTCTCCTTGGAGCATTAGTGCCAAGTCCCTCTATAACTGGGCCTGAAAAGGGGAAGCTCTACAAAATATATTTTCAAAAACATGAATAGTTTTGTAATGAATATTAAAAAATGTACAATATTACAAGATGTTAGGAAATCGAAATCAGACAAAACCAAGATCCCTCAATTCTTCATATCTCTTTTTGTTTTTGATCCTCATGTGGAAATCTTAGAAACTCGGGTGTTGGGGATAGGAAATATATGAGTGACCCCTCTCCCCTTCTCCCCCTCTCCCAATTTAATTCATGGGAGAATAATTCAAATAAGTTCAAACAGAAGGTTTTGCACTGCCCTAGCCTGGTCAGGAATGGATTTGTCTGCAGCCAATTAGTTGTCAATTCTTCTACAGGATTGGCTGCCTTAGGACATGCTCAAAAAAAAAAAAAAAAAATGTGGGTAGGAAGAGCTTAGTCACGACCAACACAGTCTGGCTTTCAAATCACAGGCAGTTCACTGCTCTCCATCACAGAGAGGGGGGAAGAAAAGGAGCTGGATCTGTCAGATGTCTGTGGAAGCTGGACACTCAGAGGAGAAATCTGCCTGGACTAGGGACACAGTAAAATATCAGCATGGAAACAGCAGCATGTAGATGTCCACTGCCTGCAATGCACTTTTCTGACTCCTGTCCCCTTTAAATCACAGCTCTCTGACATCCATAAAACTACAGCCAAGACCGGTTTGGCTCAGTGGATAGAGCATTGGCGTGTGGACTGAAAAGTCCCAGGTTCGATTCAGGACAGGGGCATGTACCTTGGTTGCAAGCACATCCCCAGTAGGGGGAGTGCAGGAGGCAGCTGATTGATGATTCTCTCTCATTGATGTTTCTAACTCTCCTATCCCTCTCTCTTCCTCTCTGTGAAAGATCAATAAAATATATAATAAAAATATAAAAAGAAACTATAAAGTGTTTTGTGAGAAAAAAACAAGGTCATGGTGTTGTAATGCACTGTCTTTGTGAGTCTCTCTCAAACAGGGGCATATCCAAATGTATAGACTGTTTAAACATACAGGTTTTAAAAAAAAAGTAAAAATAACTGAAAACAGCTTGTGAAGTTACATGTAAGTGGATCATATGGCAACGGAACAGCATATTTAATAAGAGTGCCAATTGGATAAGGCCAATTCTTTTGGTGTGATTCATTCCAACAGATAAAATTTTTGAGATAAAGCAACTAAACTGAAATCCATCAATTGGCATTAGAATCCAGGGCAAACCTGTAGTGGTAAGTATGAGACTAATCTATGTTGATATTGACAAAAATTGTGACATTCATGAAAGATAAATTTTGTTGGCACATAGCAATTCAAGTTGGGAAGGAACCATGCACTGCTTAACTTCCATTATCAAAATATAAACAACTTGGCAGTAACCTAAATGGTGGAGTGATAAAGATTTTAAGGAAGATTAACTCACAGAAATGGAAAACAGGAAATACAGGAGCAAGTGAAGTGATCACACCAAGTAGAAGAAGCTCAGATCTCCTGGTTGCGAGGTTTTAAATGGCATGCTTTTTGTCTTTGTGAATTTCAATTAGACCCTGCAGTGGGCATGCCAGGCAGGAAATATTAAGGATGGAGGAGAAAGGTGGTGTTCCATTCTTTACAGAGCATGCATAGAGGAGAGCAAATGTTTGTTTAGGTTGTAGCATACTAAATACGTATTTAGAATGTGGTAATTAGTAGGTTAAAAAAAAGAGCAGCTTGAAATATTTACCATGCAAGGGTCTTACCCTCCTCACATAATCTTTAAAGGAAAGCTGAAATGTATGTGGAATAGCAGTGCCTGCTGTTAGGAAAACTGTACCATCTAGGAAAAACATCAGAATTTTTGGTTCAAAAACTAACGGCATTGAACAATTTGACACATACCAACTTCCAATGTAATATGACAGAAATCTCTCTCTCTCTCTCTCTCTCTCTCTCTCTCTCTCTCTCTCTCTCTCTCTCTCTCTCTCTCTCATTCAAATTGCACGTTTGGATTTTATCGCCTCGGATTAAGTAGAGGAGAAAAGAGACAGAACACACAATGCTGAAAGTGTACTCTGGGGTCTGGGATTACAACAGGTCCCCAGAGGGGATCACCTTACCCTCTGCTCTGTTCTGCCCCCCACCCTGAGGAGGAGAGGGATCCAAGAACTGCAGAAGCAGTAGAAACACTGTTTGTCTAATTTTGCTCCAGGTCGGGGGCAGGGGTGGGGGTATGTAAACTTTTTAGAGCTGTTGATTGATTCTGATCACCAGGTAGGGAGGGTGCATGTGAAAAGAGATCGGGAAAATAATTACTGAGAGTAAACCAGAGGTTTCCCAAGGTGTATAACCTGCCAATGGACTTTCCTGGCCGGCTGGAGGGGAGTCTCCAACCCTCAGGGCTTTGAGGCGAGAGCTCTGATGATGGCAGGCGTGTGAAGGAATGGATCATGATGTATCCGGAAGGCTTAGGGAAATCAAAGAAACTTCCTGCTGTCAGATTCCACGAATCCGCCTTGAACTTGGTCCTGCGTGGAGGCGCTGATGATGACTAAGTCCAGGCGTGTTGAGTCCCCTCGCCCTCCAGGGAGAGCGGTACCTCCTTACTTCTCCCCCGCAGCCCCCGCAGCCGCGTCGCCCCGGAGCCAAATGTTGGGGGGCTGGCGACAGGGTGCGGCTCCGGGAACCTAGGGACCCACAGACATATTGCATGAGCGGCTCCTCACCCTTACCCGCCGGCAGCACCCTGGGAACCTCGGGTCTTCGGGGGGGCCAGCCCAGGGGCCGCCGCGGGGAGCTGTCCGGGAGCTGTCCATGGTGGCCGAGGGCTCCGCTCCGCCCGCGCGGGGTGGACGCCCGCGAGCAGCGCTCCAGGCGCCCGAGGCTCCCGCCGATCCCGCTGCGGGTACCGGGGGCACGGTTACCCGGGATCGGGGTGAGGATGGGGGTCCTCACTTGTCCCGGATCTCCGTGAGCCCTCCTCCAGGGGCCTGGCTCCTCCTCCTCCTCCTCCTCCTCCTCCCTCCCCAGGCTGGGGCTCGCGCCGCCTCCGCCCGCGCGCCCCCCGCCCCCGGCGCCCGCTTCGCCCGCTGCTGCCAGAGCTCTCCCTCCTCCCCTCCCTCCTCCTCCCCCTCCCTCCTCCTCTTCTCCCTCCTCCTCCCCCCCGGCAGCGCCACTACGGCCGCCTCCGCCGGCTACTCCTGCGCCGCCGCCGCCGCTCCGGCTCCGGCTCCGGCTCTGGCTCCACCAGCCCGGCGCTCCGGCTCCCCGCGCCGCTGCAGCCGGTCCGCCGCGCTCTGCTCTCTCCCAAGTTTCCCGGCTGCTCGGGGTCAGAGCGGAGGGAGGAGAACACACACGGCTGCAGCCGGTGGTGTCAGGTAAGGCGGCCAGGCTGACCCCAGCAGGGACCCTCCCCCGGCGCCTCTGCCGCCGGTGCATGCCTCCGCTCCGCACTCCCTCCCGCGGAGGTTCGGGTCGCCCCTCCTCCCGAGCCCATCCAAGGAGACAATTTGGGAACCCATCTGGAGAAGCCTATGGGCAAGTACCATGCGGTCCGAGACCCCCGCCCGCACGGCTGCCCATGAACCTGGCTCCGGTATCGTCTCCAACTTTGCACGCCGCGCCGCCCGGGAGGAGCCTGCCTGCCGGGCTGGACCCAGGCTCCGCGAAAGGCTGGCAAATGTGCGGCTGTTTCTCAGCAGTTGAGCCTCCTAACCCCTGGCTACCGCCTCCAAGACGCCGTGGTCTTTGGCAGCTGAGGATGGGCAGGGAGGGCGATGAGGCTGCTTTCTCTCAGAGGGAGCCAAGAGGTGAAGGCGCGAGGGCTGCAGCTGGAAATAATTAACAATCGGAAAAGTGGGCTGGCGGCCCCCTCCCTGGCTTTTCTCGCCTTGATCGCGGGGAGGTGGTCTCGGTTAAGGGGAGGGTGACTGGAAGTGCCCAGTCCCCCGTCACCCCGCCCCCCGCCACCCCCTTTGGATTCTCCCCTCCAGCCCATACTCTTCTCTAGCTCATGTGTCAGTTCAGGGTCCTGCGTGTGTTATTTAATTCAGGTGTCGCTCTGGGTGAGCACAGAACAGTGTTTGCTGGGGATGGGCAAAGTGTGATTCCTTGATCATCTTGCCTGTCAAATATAAATAAATAAATAAATAAATAAATAAATAAATAGGAAAAAGAGGAAAGGGAAGAAGTAAGAACAGTGCCCTCGCTCACCCAGTCATCTTACCATAATACACTCATTCCACTGGAATAGCTTCCATAGCGTGATATCCAATTACCAACCGCAGTGGCAGAGTTTGGGGGCTATTTGGGTGGTGGGCCTGAATTTAATTGTTATTGTTGTTTTGGTTTCCTTTCATGGCTTTCCAAGAGCTGCAATGAGGATGAGATTGAACATGGTCAACATGCAGTTACTGCTTCTTGTTTTCTTCATGTGGGACCCAATCAGGTGAGGCACTTATTATATTTGACTCTTAATTCAGGGTGAAGGTGTGTTTTTTAAATGGCATTGGGGTAGTGGTGGCTTTTGAGAAGCTATAGTGTTTTTGCAGTGTTCTTTCTAAGGAAGAAAGGCTGTACCAAGAAACTGAACTATGTAGTGGCAGGGATGATAAAAAGTTCACTGCCTCATGCTTTTAGCTATCAATGCAAAAGTGAACAGAAATATTGTCTTTTAAAAAAAATCACCAAAGGAGATGATACCCTTTGAAGGGCATGTTTTTGCAAGGAATTGAAGAGATTAAGTTACATGCATATCATAACAACATTCATTGAAGAAGTCAACAGTTTTCCTTTAAGCCACACACAATGCACAAGCTAAAATGGTTTGAGTGTTAAATGAATTTTTCTTTCTTTCTTTATTTCTTAGATTCTTTCTTTCTGCTTTTCTCCCTCTTTTTTTTTTTTTTTTTTTTTTTAATGGTCTTGGCTCTTTTAGTCAACACAGAAAACCTAAATGATATGTGAGTCTTAAGCCTCTAGGTGGAGGTAGTACACAACTTCACAATCACAAACAATAAGATAAAAGCTTGATTTATTAATCAACTTTTTACATTATTCATTTGGATAGCTTTTGTTCTTAAAATGGTTACTATCATAAAGAGTACTGATTTTAAACATGTAACTTTTTGTTTGCCTGTGTTCTACAAACATGAAATCATTTTTACTGCTTTCAGCAACTTCATCATAGCTTAGTCTTTTCTGATTGCTTATCACCAATGGGCATCTTTTACTTATTGCTTTTAGTATGCTTTTAAAATAACAGGGGACATAAAATATAAGATCTATCAAAATGTTCATGTAACTACTCCTTTTACTTTTAAGAAAAAAAAAAAGCCTTATTATATCTCTAGTTCCCTCAAATTTTTCCATTTTCCTGTCCAAACAATTTCCAAATATGAAAATATTTTCTAGAATTGAGTAAAAATCTCTTTACAAAGACTTATTTTACTTGGAGAATATCTCATTAATATTGGGTTTAGAAAGAAAGTGTAACATGTGATTAAAAAACACTTTTGACTGAAAATCTCTATGTGGAACTTTATGACTCTCAGTGATTGGTTTTAAAATTAGCTTAAGGCAATGTATTAATAGAAGCTTGAGGCTGGAGGGTATGAACTAATTTGCTTACATAATTTTAAAATGCTTATCTTCATATTGGTGTTTTAATAGTTTCTCTGCTTTCAAGACAATATTTTAAGTTTGGTTACCAATTTTTGATGTATTGTGACTATTTTTAACTATTAACTGCATAATCATTTAAATGCAAATGGACTCTGTGAATGATATTTTACACAATACACCTTGCTCGGCATGCAGATTATTTAGAACCTTTTAGTTTAAAGGAATGAACAAAGATGGTCAATTACTAATCTTTTAAAATCCTCAGCTTAACCGTATTTCTCACTATTGGTTTTCTCTTCTCTATTTAACCAGTAATGCTCATGCCAGTATTTTATTCTATTATATAAAAGATTCTCTATTTATTTATTTTTGACCAATAATTTAAATCTCTGATTCATCCTGGGAAAAACGGCAGTGGAAAGGGACATTCTGTTTTATACATCCTTTGCTTCTTGCACCAATTTGCTGGATGTCACCAAAGCAGGTCTCTGGCTTTCTGATGGACAAATAATGGAGAAAAACCACTGTTTTTAACGCTTTTTCCTGTGATATTTCCAGACCATTTGTTCTTTCTACAAATTTACCACACACAGGCTTACAAAAGCAGCTGGGCATTTGAATCTTTGGGGGACCCCTAATCTCTCCCCTGCCCCAAGTCCAGGCCTGAGGATCTCCTCTAAGGCACTCTGCTGCTGCTGTGTGTGCTGTGATCCTTCCAGAGCCCACCTCCACCTCCTGGCTGCACAGAGCCTGGAATGCAGCCAGCAGAGTTCCCCTGATGTCTGTATTGCACTTGGCCATTGGGTGGAGGTATACCCAAAGCAAGGAAATCCTCTTGCTTTAAAAGAGAAAAAGACATAAAGCGCAAAAGGAAGACATTCATGGGGCAGACGGAGAAAAATTAGTGCCTCGAAGGAAGCAATGTTTTTCTCAATTAATATTCCAGTCACTGAAGAATGATTTCAGAAGACCCTTTGATTATTGTAGTTGAAATAACATTATTAATAGTGTCTGCATGTGATCATCTACAATCATAACATATTCTAGGGAATGGATTTTAGGGGGGGTGGGGAAGGGATAACCCACACCACAATGCTGAGTAGTAGATATCTGGAAACATGTTGACACCAAACATTCTAATAATCTGGTATTTAATAGTAGTCCCCATTTCCCACAGCATGTTTACCTTCCCCATAGACATAGTGGCATTTATAGAAGTGAAAAGGAGAGGAAAATGGGTTGTACTAATAGGGAGCCTTAACATTCAAATCAAGAAAAAAGAGCATGTTGGTACTTGCAGAAAGCATATATGTATTTATATATCTATGTATCAGTTTGTAAAATTATCTCTTTAGGTTGGTGCTGGCTAACATCCAAGAAGATGGGCCAGAAAACAACATCACCATTTTTACAAGAATTCTAGACAGACTCCTGGATGGTTATGATAATCGGCTCAGACCAGGACTCGGAGGTAAACATATTTTTACTTTCTTGTTAAACTCTCATGAAATAATGCCTTTAGAAGTTGAGGTCAGTATGTATATTTTGATATATTTTATGTATAAGTGTATTTTATGTATTAAAAAAAAAGATAGTTAATAGAAAGTAAGTCCTGTCCTTCGGCGTGACTAGCTTTTCAATTAGTTCATTTATAATAGCTCAGTTTGTATTCTTAAGAGTATGCTAAAGGATAACATTACTGGGCAGAAATGCTTGTAACATCTTTGGATTCCCTCACCACATTTTACAGATGCCTAGTATAGATATGCAAAAATAAGCTGCATAAACAATAGAGGGTCTGAGTTGTATTTCAAAACATACTCTTTTTAGGATTCTGTGATGATATTTCTTATGCAGCATGTGGCATTTCTAAAATGCAGCACAGGTTTGGCATTCCTGAAACTTTCAAAGATATTTCCCATATATGTTAGCTGTAGGCCTACACTTACTGGGCTGTGACACAGTTTGACTTGAAAGGTAAGCTTTCATTTTTTTCACCTCAGAAAAACAATCTATTTTTATTCACAAAGGTAAAGAAAATTAGGCTCGGCTAATATGTTAAATTTTAATTATCCTTCAGCATAGCTGGAAGATACTAAGGAGATTACATGAGAGTAGGGGTTCTGAGTCAAAATATTGTTATTCATCCCTTCTAACGTGAGATAGATATGTCTGCGTGTACACATTTGTCACATGTGTGGGGTACTTATAAGGATGTTTAACGATTAATTCAAAATTAAGACAAATTAGTTGAACACTTGGTATTCATCCAAGATTTATATAGTTAGCCTGGTTATTACCAGGTTGGCAACTTAGCAATATTAAATCCCTTGAAAGGCAATTGACTAAGTGCCTGCATGTTTATGTAAATATTTTCTTTGAAAAATGTAGGTGGTTTTTAATTTTATATACATTTAGCAAACTGAATGGTTTTTAATTATCTGGGAATCAGAAAAAGCCAGAAAAGAAACAACTTGTTTTTAAACAAATGCCATTTAATTGCTATTTGCTTGTTATTTGAATCCTGAGAAGCACCTTGCATTTTAAGACATACGAGTCATGACCAGAATTATGACACATTGTATCTCTCACAAATAATTCAGTTGACTAATATACACTTAGTTTTCCAAAAGAAAAAGAAGACAGAAAGGAACAGAATATTTCCTTAGTAATTTACATGTCTAATGTTCATGAATATAAGGTACTACTGTCCATGTTAGCATACATGACCATAAACTATTGCCAAACATATACAATAGAAATATGTCTAACATAAGGCTTTCAGAATTCATGATAGAAATTTGAGAGGTAGATTGCACTAAGGTAGATTTTTTTCTAAGCCATAGGTTTTACTATTTTTAAATAAATTATATGCTGTCAAAAATATTTGAGATAGACCTTGGCTTTTGTCTCTGAGGCTCTAGGAGAAAGAATTACACTGTAGTTGTATGGTGAGTAGTAGAAACTACTTGTTGCAGGACATTTATCTCTTTATATTTATTTTGTAATATCTCGTACATTCATTTTTACTGCTATTGTCAAGACTCAAATATAGATCCCTGTCACCATATTATTTGGGTTAATATAATGGATTAAATGGATCTCCTTGCTTAGTGTTTTTGTTCCCTAAACTTTATGTGATATTATACACGCTAGATGCCCAATACATGAAGATTCATGCTAGAATAGGGTTTCCTTTCCCTGGCTGCATGCACTGCCTTTCCACTCTGACCTAGCCCCTTTCCCCTCAGGCCCTGGAGCTGCCTCTTTCAGCTCAGCCCCGCCTTCCCATTCTGCCCAGAGTCCCTGAGAGACTGGGGGTGGAGCAGAACACCTGCATCATCTCAACAACACAAGCTTCCCACCCCCATCACTCAGCACCGGTGTATGCAAATTAACCGCCATCTTTGCTGGGTTAATTTGCATATCACTTCTGATTGGCAGGTGGCGTGGAGGTACGGTCAATTTACATGTTTGTCTATTATTAGGTAAGATGGTAATATTATTTGTCTTCTTTTATTTTTACAATGCTTTTATATGTCACCCTATTCTCTTGATCATATATCTTGTGTGGCTCCCCATTGCCTGCAGTAGATGGCAGTGAGTAGTAGTGGAAAGAATGTGGGCCTTGGAGGCAGATAGATCTAGATTGAAGTTTTTGCTTCACCCACACCCAAAGCGAAGCCTTGGCCAGATAGTCTCTGCTTCCTTTTATTTAAAGTAGCCATGTGCCCTAACTGCTTTGGCTCAGTGGATAGAGTGGATAGAGTGGATAGAGTCTGTGAACTGAAAGGTCCCAGGTTCAATTCCTGTCAAGGGCATGTACACTGGTTGTGGGCACATCCCCACTAGGGGGTGTGCAGAAGGCAGCTGGTCGATGTTTCTCTCTCATTGATGTTTCCAAATCTCTATCTATATCCATTCCTCTCTGTAAAAAAAAATCAATAAAATATATTAAATAAATAAAGTAGCCATGCTATAGCTCATAGGTTTGATGATAGGGTCACATAAACAAAAAATATCCATAAAACTGGTGCCACACACTAGCAGTTCCACAAAGTTCTATCTCTCCTCCCTTAGATATCTAAGTCGCCAATAAAGGTTTTCTGCAGTCTGCTTCTCTGGTTTCATTTTTTGTTTCTCCTCTCATGTGTCCTACACTTCAAATGCATCAGGTTCATTTTCCCTTGATAATTCATTCCAGTCTTCTCCCATGGCCTTGGTCCTATTATCCGCCTCTCACTGAAATTATTTTTCCTCATCCTCTCTGATGATCTCAATTTTACCTTTCCTATAAAGTCCACCTCAACACTATTCCTCTTTAGGAAAGATTTTTCATAACTAAATTGAAGCACCCAGATTCAATTTTCTCTCTCTTGAAATTCTTTAGCAGTTGTTGGCTCTATATCTCATTTGGTACTTATTATGTGCTATGTTGGATTATTTATTACCTCTTTATGTGTCTCTTGTTACTTTAACAAGATTGCAAGCTCATTGAGGCAAGATATTGTATCATAAATCCTGTGTGCCTCAGCAACTAAATATTGATTTGCATATTGTGGCGGTAAAATAAATGTTGATGGCTTGATTAACTTTTCTGTGACCAGTTAATCATCTGTAAAATGGAGCTACTCATATCTGGATGACCATGTTGAAGTGATATGTTGAGCATCATGCTGCAGAATTGTAGTGTTGCTTAGTGAAGGGAACTTTAGACTGCGGGGATTCAAGAAAAATCCTGGTTCTGGTACTGAACAGTCCTATAACCTTTGAACACTGAGCCTCTCTGGGTCATATTTGTCCTGTATAGAAGGAGATTACTATAGTAATATTCTTAAGAGTTTTGATGAATAGTAAATACAATGGCATATACAAAGAATTTAGTACAGTAGCTAGTATACAGTAGAGAGTTAATAAATAAGAATAACTAAAATAATTTGAAAAACTTTCTAAATGTAATGTTGGAAATTTAAATTATTATTATGGTTACTTCTGCATCCAAAATTATTAGCCTGAATGTTCATATGTCATTCCAAATAGAAAGTTCAGGGAAATTACTGCATCATTATGTCCCAGAAATTAATAAGGAAAAAATGGGCTTGATTCTATTTTAATATATCAAGCTGAGCATCTCTGTTGATGAATAATTTGGGTAATTAATCTCAATTATTATTTGCTTTCCTTTGTGAGTTTCATATAAATGAATACATAAGAAAGAACAATCAGTTTTGGACCAGGAGTTAGAAAAATTCTTCTTTTCACCTGGCTGTGCTGCTTACTAGATCTTATCTAGACAAATACTTAGACATTCTGAGCCCTGGTATTTTCTGTAAAAATAATTGTATTTTATTCTGAGAGAAGGAAGGGATTCATATATATATAATCTCCAAGGTTATGCAATATAGTGAGTGATAAAATTTTAAGATATTTAATGATTAATAATAGGTCTTTAAAATTTAAGTCAGACCATGCCACTCAACTGCTCAACACCTTGCATTGGTTTCCACTTCATTCATAATTAAGCTGGGGTTTCTTGTGCTGGCCTCCAAGGGCCTGCAGGATCTGCCTCTCTGTTCTCCCTCTGACCTCCTCTCACACAGCTCTCCTTGCTGCTGCTGCTGCTGCTGCAGTCACACTGGCTCTCTTTTCTGTTTTTATGCACACCGGGACACATAGCCATTGGTCTCACCTTCTCAATGAGACCTGTCCTGACCAACCACATAAATACAAGATAATTTATATCTTCATTAATGTTATGTCAATTGCTTATTTTTGTCAGTTTTGCTAGAATTTAGGCTCACTGAGGTCAGGGGTTTTGGCCCACCTATTGTCTAGTTCACAAGCATGGGTAAGCACTTCTCTGAACAGATCTTGAATAAATATTAATTGTATTTATTTATGTAATTTTATTTTAGTATGCTCTTGGGAAAGGAATCAACTATGGGACTTATTCTTAAAAAAAAAAAAATGGAGCGATTGTCATTCAATTACCACATTAGACTTTCACTCTTATTTTCAGCATATTTAAGGCCGAACTCTTGGTGAATTGGAATCTTTGTTCCACCTGTTACTCAGACTCCTAATTTAATGTGAGATGTGATTCTGCCATAAACAAGCTGTGGTTTCGGATGATCCATTTATCTGAACTGTGACTTATTTTTCTCATCTGTAAAATGGAAGGAGAAGTTCTTACTCTGTTTATGTCCCACAGGAATATGTAGGGCTCAAGGAAATGACAATTCTTAAGAAAGCATAATGTGACATGCACTTGATAAGTATTATATTGTTAGGAATAGCAGAGTTCTTCAAGGAGAATATAATCTATCCTTTAAAATCCTGACCAGAAAATATTGGTATGTGTTGTGCATTTTTTTGGTTTACTTCCTTGTGAGCCTGGAAACATGAGATGGGTTTGCCTTTATATGTTATCTACCAAGACCACACATTCAGATTAGTTAGAACAAATAACTG